GGCTTCCCTGCCACTTCACCCTGTACCTTGCTCCCTCTCGCATTCTCTGCAGCCATGAAGCAAACGAAAGGTATGTGCCGGGGCAGTGGGGGCTTCGCAGCGGAGACCCTTCCCCACACGCACATCTCCAGGCCCTGCTTCCACATGGAGCAAGGCAATGTCAGAGCCCAGGCAGGCCATGGAAAGGAGCTAGGGACATCCAGGAAAATGCAGATGGACATTGTGGGGGCGCTTGGCAGGAATCCCCTCTCCTTAGGTTCAGGGGTCCTTGTGCTGGAAGAGGTGGGGAGGGGTTTTATGGGGAGGTGCGCAGGGGAAGGCCTCTGTCTCCATCTCCTGGCTCCGGCCAGCTCTCTGGGGCGCTGGTGACCCTTCTCAACCCCTGCTGAAAAGCCCTGTGAACCCCCAGGACTAGCCTCCATCTGCATACCGTCACCCGGCCCTACTTTGTCCCTGGTGTTGCGGGACACTGCTGGGCTCACCAATGGGTGCCCGATGGAGCCAAGCAGCAGGTGTCCTGCTGCTTTGAAATGCAAGAGGACACTGGTGGGGGGGCCAAGGGCTGAGCTGTGCCAGGGCACAAGATGTAGCTGGGGGGGCTGAGGGGGCTGCGTGGACTCAGCAAACCCACCCCACCTGGCGTGGCGTGCTCAGCCTGTGAATGGACAAGCCCTGAGTGCTCAAGAGCCTGGGGTCTGCTCCCAACCCACCGCCTCCTGCACTGACCTGTCCTCTCCCTCTACAGGGCTCGAGGGTGACAAGAAGTCCATCATGTAAGTGCTGAGCTCCCCCTGGCCAGGGACTTTCTGGGGCTCATGGCCCCACCACCGGGTTGTGCTGGGGCACATCCTCAGCTGAGGTGGTGTGGGTCATGGCTGCCCATCCCAGCTGCCTGCCCCGGGAGGGTCTTCCCTGCGTCGTTTGCTCAGGAGAGATGTGGGGGACAGTCCAAGAGGGAGATCCCCTCCCGGCTTTCCTCGGGGAAGAGGAGGCGCTGGAGCTGTGGCCTCAGCTGGCGCCTTCTGGGAGGAATGAGACTCCCCATGGCAGGGCTGGGGAGGGCAGGGGGAAGGCTGTGCTGCCACACTAACGTGGCCTCTCCCGCCCTTTATCATTTCAGAAAATTTGAATTTAACCCCAAAGATGGGATCGACAACCCTGCCTTGTCACTGACTGAGGACACGGGTAAATACCCCTATCCCCCCCAGGGCGTCCCTGTGTCAGCACGGGGTTCTGGCGGCTGGGCATTGCCGGGGTCCTGAGCTGTGGGGAGGTGAACACAAAAGGCAGCAGGGATGGGGAGACTCCAGCCCAGGATGGGGCAGAGAACTCGTGTTAGGATCTCTGCAGGGCCCTGCTCATGGCCTGTGCCCCCATGCAGATGACGAGGGCGTGGGGGAGCCCCGCTTCTACCTCCTGAACAAGGGCAGCGCAGAGACCTTCGGCTTCTGCCTCCACGAGGAGCTGGGCTGCCAGGGCCACATCATCCGGCAGGTCGAGCTGGGGGGGCTGGCCCAGCGCAGGGGCCTGCAGGACGGGGACCGGCTCCTCCAGGTCAATGGCCACTTCGTGGATCACATGGACCACCGCAGGGTAAGCCGGGAGCACCCCGGGGCTGTGAGAACACCCGGGTCCTCCCCGGCCAGGGGCAGAGAGGGTGCAGGACCCCGCTGCCCCCCCAGGTCCCTGATCCCACAGGCTGTGGTTGGAGGGGTGCCCTGCCCAGGGTGTGCAGCCTGGGTCCTTCCAGGTGGTGCAGAAGATCAAGGCCAGCGGGAACCAGGTCCTACTGGTGGTGCTGGATGGCGACTCCTACAAAGCGGCCAAAGCCCTGGGCAGGGACCTGTCCCAGATGCTGCCTGCTGACATCCGCCCTCGCCTCTGCCACATCATGCGGGACAAAAGCGATTTTGGCTTCAGTGTGTCGGGTCCAGAAGGTAAAGCGGGCAGCGGGATGCCGGCACCACGAGCCTCCCTGACACAGCGTCTTGTTCACTCCAGACCGATCTTCTCCCCGCAGGCACGAAGGGCACCTTCCAGCTGTCGGTGAGGCAGGATGGGCCAGCGGAGAGAGCAGGAGTACCACCAGGCTCCTGGCTCCTGGAGCTGAACGGAGCCAGCGTGAGGAGCTACTCGCACGCACAGCTCGCCAGAAAGGTGTGTGCTCCCGACACGGGAGGGTGGGGGACCGGGGCCGGCAATGCTGCTGAGCACCCTGTGTTTCCCATCAAGCTTAAGCGGTACGCTGCTGGTGGCGTCCAGTGCCGTGGAGGAGTTTTACCGCCTGCGGGGCCTGCGGGTCACGGCTGCCTTGGCGGACATCTCCTGGCTCCCCTTCAAGGTCCGGGAGCTGCACATGGTGAAGGGTCCAGCTGGCTACGGGTTTCTGCTCAAGGAGGACGACTGCAGCTCAGGGGCCACAGGTGAGGGGGGCAGTCTGTACCTGAGCAAGGCATGTCTAAGGGTCGGGAATAGCTGCAAGCCCTGTGCCCACAGTGGGACCCTGTCCGCACCTGCACATGGAGGTCAGTGGTGCCAGTTCCTCTCTGACCGAATGCCTCCGTGAGCATCTCCCCACCCTCCCCCTGTCCCACTGCGGCAGGCCAGTTCCTGTGGGACGTGGATGTGGGGCTGCCGGCCGAGCAGGCAGGGATGAAGGAAGGGGACCGTCTCCTGGCTGTGAATGGTGAGAGCATTGAGGGGCTGGACCACCACCAGACTGTGCTCAGGATCCGTGCCCATGATGACCAGGTGAAGCTGCTGGTCATCGACCCCGCTAGCGATGAGTTCTACCAGTCGGTAAGTTTTGGGGACCCAGAATGGTCCCACCCTGGCTGGGGAGCCCTGTGGTGCTGTGAGGCATGGATGGGTTTCCTGCCCCCAGGCCTGCACAGTGAGGTCCTCTCCGGGGGACCTGGGTTGCTGTGGAGGGCTGGGAGCTATACGGTTATCCCTCTTCTGCTCTTCCAGATCGGGCTGTCCCCTCTGCTGTTCTTTGAGGACAGTGACCCTGCCTCAGGCTCCCAAACGCCCTCCCTGCCCTCTCCCAGTGGCTCTCCTGGACTCCGTCACGTTGAGGTGGGACCAAAGGGATCGGGCTCCTGGCTGGTGGCTGCTGCCAACAGTATAGGGTTCACACAGGTAACCCCTCTTGCCAGGCTCTTGTGGCAGTGCTGCTCACAGCCCAGCACTGCTTTAAGTCCTGGCACCCTCCTGCCCTGCCTGTCCTAATATTTCCCTGGCACCTGTGACACCACCAGGAGGGGGCTGCGTGGTCCCCTGGTCACAGGGGCCAGGCAGAAAGATCCTCCAACCTGCCCAGAGGGCGAGGGAGGAGTGTGGTGGGGGTGAGTAGATACGTGCTGTCCGCAATACCCTTGCTGTGTTCCCGCAGAGCCCACGCCAGGAGCAGAGGCGGCTGCACCAGGCATTCTAGCAACCCAGGAGCACTTTGCCTCCAGCCAGGCTCCCCCCCACAACCCAGGCCAGGTCCAGCCCGTCAGTGCCCTTCGCCTGGCTCCCTGGAGAGTACAGCGCTGCTCAGCCATGGCCGTTGCACGCACAGCTGTTGTGTCTCCATGCCCACAACGGGGCTCGCAGCATCACACCTCCCAGAGACTCATCTCCACCGACCGAGGCGGGCCCCAAGCTTTTATTAACCATGGCGGTGGCTTCTCATAACTTGAAGACAGACCTGTGTCTTTGCCTGCCCAGCTGCCTCCAGGGGTATCTAGAGACATTGCACTGAAACCCTTGCCCAGCCCCAGGCTCTGCGAGCTCCCAGGAGAGCCGAGGCGCTGCCCTGCATGCCATGACCCAGGGGACTGGGGAGCCTGAGGCTTGGCTCAGCCCAGGGCTGGCCTTCAGGCCGCTGTGTGAAGGGGAAAGGGAGCAGCAGAGACTGATGGGGTGCTGGAGGAACCCCCCCACCTCTCAGCCTGTTGGCTCAGGTCTGCCCCTGCATGGACATCTCCCTGGTGCTCCTCCTCTCATCGTCCTTGTGAACCTGTGGGCAGCGAGTGTCTGCCACCCATCATAGCAGTGTTCCTGCGTCACCCGTTCGGGGTGTGATTAAAGCACAAATCCATATTGGCGTTCATGTGGGTAATGTCATGGAGAGAACTGTGACTCAGCAGTGCATCCTATGGCCCAACAGGACCCATCTTCTCTTATGTAGCCTGGGGCAGCTGAGGTGTGGGGCAGCAGATGCGGGAAGTTCTCCAAGTATTCTGACAGGGAGGTAGGGGCTGAGACCCTGTCCCACCCCAGGAACCCCAGGGTGCTATATCTCCAGGGGGTTGAGGCCGAACTCCTGTAGGCGCTCCTTGTGCTCCACGGCGATGGTCGTTGCTACCTCTTCCCAGTGCTGGCTGGCCTCAGCCATCTTGGCCAGCACCAGGTCCAGGCTACCCTGGTGGGAAAGAGGATGGTGAGGAGGGGGGACACCGCACTGCCAGGGGGAACCACCAACAGCCATGTCCCCACTCACGTGGAGGGTCTTCTCGTACTCCCTCTCCATGGCGTCAAGCCTGCCCTGCAGCTGGGCGATGGTCCTGTCCCTCTCCGCTAGTGCCTGGGTGGCCATCTCCTGGGTCTGCTGGCTCTCCCGGAGCCTGGTGGCTGTGGGGTGCAGGGACAGAGGCCGAGGACACTGAGCACGTGGGCGCAGGAACCTGACGCTGTGTGACCAGTGCACGGGAGGGTGCGGGCAGTCTGCGGCGCAGCCCCTGCCCAAATCCCCTCATCCCCCGAGTGGCAGAGGGCTCTGGGACAGGGGAGGGATCACAGCATCCCCTTTGCAGTCAGCATCTCCCAAGGTCAGGGATGCGCTGGGAACAGGGTCAGGCTCTGCCTTCAGCGGCTGCTGCGCCGGCTGCACAGTGCGAAGGACTCCCATCTTCCCTTGTTCCCCCAAGTGCACTTTGCGGCCCTGGAGCAAACCCCATCCCCACCCACGGGCGAGGGGCAGGCATGCCGGGGGGCCATACCAAGCTGCTCCTGCAGGGTCTTCACTTTCGCCTCCAAGCGCTGGCTGTGGGCTGCTGCCTGCTTCTGCAGCTCTTGGCATTGCCGGGTCATTTCTGGGAGCCAGGAAAGGAGAAGGGACAAACGTGGAGGGACAGGCAGGAGGTCCTTGCGCTGGGATGCCAGCACCTGTGACCAGGCAGGGGTCCAGCAAGGCCTGACCCGAGGGCTGCCCTTGCAGGGTGACCCATCAGAAGCAGCACACCCTCTCCCTGCCCGGCCGGGCTGTGACGATGCTGAGGGGTGGGGGCAGGAGGGAGCCCCGGAGGGAAAGTTTTACCTCCCTGTTGAGCGTGGGAGAGTGAAAATGAGCACGGAGTTTTGCATGTGGCAAGACCGCAAACCTCTGGCTGAGGTTTTACCTCTGCTAAAATCAGTCCCCTCTCAAGCGCTAACGGAAATGGCGAGGCAATGACTTTTGCAGGCAGGGAAGTCTCTGCCTCTGTGGTGGCCTCTGCCCGTGCTGAGTACGGGCACCTGGGGTGCAACGACTCCATGTCCAGAGCCTTTGCATGCTGACAGCACGGGAGGGAGCAGGGCTGGCCAACAGCAGGCTGGTTTGGGGCTGAGCGGTCAAGGCTGAAGGGAGAGGTGGGGTAAGCTTGGCAGCACCAAGGTGTGGGGTCCCTGCATCTGTCTCACCGCCCCCTCCCACCTCTGCCTTCACCTTCATGAATGTCTCGCTTGTCTTCCCGTGCCTGCTCCAGCGCCTTCTCCAGGTCCCACAGCCTCTGCTTGAGCCCTGCATTGTCAGTGTTTGCCTGCCAGGTCGTATCCCTCCAGGGAACTGCAAGCCAGAGACGCGCAGGACTGTCCTGGGGACAAGGTGCTTCCTGATGGATCACCCATACCACGACCCTGGCCTGAGCACAGGCACTCCAAAGGCAAACCACAGTGGGTGACTATTCCCTGCCCGGTACCTCCTCGCTACCTTGGCCCAGCAGCGACTTCTTCCTAGACTTTCTCCGCTCCTGAAGCCAGGGGGATGTTGGATGCCTCCCGCCCCCCAGGCCCCGCCTGAGTCGGAGTGAATCTCATAGCAAGAAAGCTCCCCTTTGTTTCAGCCCAGCACCACGCTAGGGCAGCATTTCCAGGGGGTGCCCCACTGCAGCACCCCTGCCACCTCCCATCTGCTTTCATCATCGCTCCTCGCTTTCTCCGCCGTCTCCGCAGCATTGCTGGCCTCTGTAAGCGGCTGCTGCGCTGCCCACCAGGGTCTCTTGGGACAGCACAGGCAGCCCCTGGGGCTGGAGCCCACACGCGCAGGAGGCCGTGTGCCATCCGCTGGCGTGACTTGCTGCCAGGAAGGACTAGTCCCTAGGAAGTCCACGCAGGGCGGTGGGCATCCCTTGCTCGCCCCAGCCCCTGGCTTCTCCCGACCTTACCCAGGTGCTCTTTCAGCATGTCAACCTCCAGTGCTGCTTTCCTGCATTTCTCTCCAGTTTGGCTTTCTGCAGCCAGAGGGAAGAAGAAAGGGACAGAGTCAAGAGCAGCTCTTTCAAGAGGCTTGGACCAGGAACTCCACACACTGTCAAATGGCCCAGGGGAAGCCTGCCGTGGGATGTTTGCCCCAGGAAATCTTGGCTGAAACACACCTCCGGCTCAAACACCGGCACCAGGGCCGTATTTACACAGGCACCTGTCAGACACAGAGTCAAGGTGTAGCCGGTTTTACTTGAAGCGGCTGCCCTGGAGAGAGGCACGCTCATTTGGGACTGAGGGCTGGGATTTTGCAGTTAAGATGGTGCAGTAGCTGCTGTGCGTAGAGGCTTGGGGTCCCCTTCCAAAACCTCACCCCAGATGCTCTTCCAGTCTGGCATATGTTGCGCTTTCGGAGCCATGGAAGAGCCGCTCTCTTTGACTTCCCTGATGGATCCTGCTGGGCTGGAGGGGGCAGTGGGGTGCAGGGTGCTTTGGGCAGGGACCTCCTGCCTCCTGTATCAGGTGTAACTGCGCTACCGCCGCTGGCACAGGGTAAGCAGGGCTGGAGGAGATGTGAGAGCCACAGCCAGGCTCTCCCATCGTGCCCCAGAGCAATCCTTTGCCCCGGTGCTCCCAGCTCCTGCTACTGCAGCCCCCACGATGCCTGTCCTCGCTGAGGATGGGAAGCAGCAGAGGGGAGGGACAGGAGAGGCACCTTCCTGCTGGCTGGAGGGAGACAAAAGACCCCGGACTTACCTGCTATGTCTCTCTTCTGCTGCTGCTTCACTCCTTTTTTCCCTTTCCCTTTGCTCTTCGGAGGCATCCTCCCGCAAAGCGATAGCAGTGCTCCCTCTCAGCAAGTGGTGATCACACACTGGACTTTTGGGGGAGAAAGGGGAGGCAGTGCCCCCCCCAGCACATGGAGAAAAAGGCCTTTGCTTCCCCAGGAAGCGAGACCCAGAGGTGTGGAGCTGCTGTGCATCCATCGTGCCTCCGCCAGGATGGCTGTCCCGGCTGCTAGCACGGACCTCGGTCCCTCAAGATGCAGCAGCTGCCTTCAAGCTAATCCCTGCTGTCGAGGCAACTATCTGCAACTAAGACAGGTTGTTATCTGGCCCCAAACCCGCCTCCACCTTGCAGCAGCTGAGCATCTCATTCTCGTGACAGAGGCATGGATGGAATGGATCCTGTGCCCAGCGCAGCACCAGGATGGTCTGAAGCCGGCCCCGTTCCCCAGCACTGAACTGGGCATGTTTGGCTGCAGGGCTGTGGGACGTGCTCTGATCAGGTAGGCTGGACCTCGTCCTGCTCACGTCCCAGTCCTACAGCAGTCCCAGCATGGATCTAGCTGAGCTGTGGGAAACGGGCACACGGCAGGGAGGGCGACTCTCCCAGGTCACAGTCTGAAACAAGCCTGGCATCTTCCTCTCTTCCTGCCCTCGCTCTCCCCTCCAGCACGCCCTCCTGCTCAGCACTGCAAGTTTTGCCCTGGGGACTGTGCCTGGATTTGGATTTCCTTTATAAAACAGGAGAGGGAGGGAGGAAGGGAGAGGATTTTAAACTACTGTTTCCGCTCAGGACGCGATTAACCCCAAATACCTGGGAGCGAGGAGGAGATTCCCGGGTGCGCTGCAGCTCTTCAGTTTTCAGACCTCGCTGTGTGGGCAGGGGCAGCCGGAGCCAGGCAGGCAGCAGGAGCAGGGAGCTGGTGCGTGGGGAGGCTGCAGGGCCGTCCGCTGCCAGGGCAACCTAGGGACGCCAGACAGGGACACGCAGTCCTGCCGGAGGAGCTGGCAGGGCCGCAGGCTGGGTGTGGAGAGCCAGGGGAGCTGGGTCTGGGCCAGGGATAACGGTGGGGGCTCTTCCTCTGTGCAGACGTGCAGGCACAGAGGC